ACATATATATATATATGTATACACACACACACACACACTACATCTTTATCCATTCATCCATCGATGGATATTTGGGCTCTTTCCATACTTTGGCTCTTGTTGATAGTACTGCTATAAACATTGGGGTGCATGTGTCCTTTCGAAACAGCATACCTGTATCCCTTGGATAAATACCTAGTAGTGCAATTGCTGGGTTGTAGGGTAGTTCTATTTTTAAATTTTTGAGGAACCTCCATACTGTTTTCCAGAGTGGCTACACTAGTTTGCATTCCCATGTATTAATTTTAGAGTCAAGGTGGTTTTTGTCTTTAAATTGGTTTTTTGTTTTTGGTACCTCTTTATCTAGCATAACAGCTGCACCAACCTTCATATGAAAAATAATTTTTATGTAAGAAAACTTTTCAGGAAGAAATCTGAAAGTTGCATACAGAATTTATGAATTCATTTATTTTCTTCTTGATCTTCTCACGTGAGATTGCAACAGCTTAATTGTTGAGAATGTGATTTATACATCTTTCCATTACCTACAGTGCTTTAAACATAGGATACAAATTGTATTCAGTAAATACTGCTTATTATTCATTCAAAATAAGTACAACTACTGAAGGAGCCAGCGTCGGGGCTTATGTGAAATGACACTGGGCATGTAGTTAATTCATTTGGCAAATGGATGATGTAAAGCTTATGTCAGAGGATTTGTCTTCTTTTAAAGTTCCTTTGGGAATAGAATGAAACTTTTCTTTCAAACATATATTGGGCCAGGAGTATATTAACCTAGGTATCAAATGCAGGAGTGAATTTAACTAATGGTATTGAAAAAGCCTTTCTAAATGGTCTGTAATTCTTTGTTTCAAGAAGTGAAGGCTACTAAACACCCATTCTTGATGATATAGTACATTCTTCATGAACATAGCTATTCATAGTGATCATCCTGCTCTTAAGGAGATCATTTGTGTACTCTTTTTTTTTTTTTTTTTTTTTTTTTTTTTTTTTTAATTTCAGTTAACTGGGGCATGTGGCTGGCTCAGTCAGTAGAGCATGTGATTCTCAATCTCATGGTTGTGAGTTCAAGCCTCACATTGGACATAGAGCTTACTAAAAAAATAATAATAATAAAATCAAATCTTCATTTTTGATAAAATTTTTTGCTGGCCCTGGTTCATTTGGAGTTTATCAGACTTTAGTAGAGTCTACATTATTCTTAAAGGTTTTACCTTTAAACTGTTAAGCTCTTACAGAAAAGAAGGGATCTTTGTGAGCATTCAAATTTGATTCAGAATTTTGCTAATGGAATGCTTGGTTCTCATTTTTAATGTATTCAATTCAAATTTTTTGGTAGAAGTTTATGAAAGTAAATCACTTTCTAAACAACCCACTTTAAGGGGCAAGGGATAAATGATCATATTTATTTAAAGTCGTTTATGCTATTAAGTTGTAGAAAATATCAAGAAATTATTCTTTTTAAATCATTGATATGCAAATTCATACTCTTTATTAACAATAAAGACTTCTTATTGGTGGTATTGATATTGTACTACAGATTAAATCCCATCATCATAAATTCTAAGAGACTGTACAGACTTTAAAATTTGGACCTTGGCAACTTTTTTTTTAATGTTTATTTTTGAGAGAGAGTGTGGAGGAGGGGCATATAAAAGGGAAAGAGAATCTGAAGCAGGCTCTGCACAGATGTGGGTTTTGAACTCACGAACTGTGAAATCATAACCTGAGCCGCCCAGGTGCCCCTGGAACTTGGCAACTTTTTAAAAATGTTTTTATTTATTTTGAGAGAGGGAGAGAGAAAATCTGCACCTTTATTTAGCCCAGAGCCCGATGCAGCACTCGATCTCACAAACTGTGAGATCCTGACCTGTGAAGTCCAAAATCAAGAGTCTGACGCTTAAGAGCCACCCAGGCTCCATGGCAATGTTTTTTTGAAAGAAAATATTATATGTGAGCATTTATGCAACTACTCACCATATGTGAACCCGACTACAGGCATAATTGGGGAACCAGGAAATACTGATATTGATTGATAAGATAGGCCAGCTTCCTGGTACTGAATCTTCACAGTAAGGACTCAAATGTTAAATATCTGCTCTCCAGTGTTAGACCCTCTGTATGGTATGTCCTCTGCACTGTACACAGCTACGTTTTACTGAGTACCCTATGCTGAACGCTAAAGGCCATAATGTTAAGCACTGCAGTTTGTTTTTAATGTTTATTTATTTTGAGAGAGTGGGGGGGAGGGGCAGAAAGAGAGGGAGACAGAGGATCTGAAGCAGGCTCTGCACTGAAAGCAGAGAGCCTGGTGTGGGGCTCGAACTCACGAACCGGGAGATCATGACCTAAGCTGAAGTCAGACTTTAACCGACTGAGCCACCCAGGTTCCCCTTAAATACTACAATTTTATGGGTCATCATTATTCCCAGATTTTTGGTATATTGAAATTTTTTTGAAATAGGATTTGACCTGCATTCAACTCGTGTGCCCTGAACTGGTAGTACATATTGAACACTCATACTTGATGAAATAAACATACTAAACATGTAATTTTTCAGAAGCAATGCACATTTTCACTGTAGTAAACTGAATGTGAACCTATAAAGTAAACCTTGGAGAAAACAAGACCTAAATATAAAGACTGAAGGGCATCTGGGTAGCTCAGTCGGTTAAGTGTCCGACTCTTGCTTTCGGCTCGGTCATGGTCTCACAGTTCGTGGGTTCGAGCCCCACATCGCGATGGCTCCACACCGTCAGCGCAGAATCCCTGCTTGGGATTCTCTCTCTTTCCCTATCTGCTCCTCCCCTACTCACATTCCTCTCTCTCCCAAAATAAAGAAATAAAACTTAAAAAAAAAATACTTAAAGAAAAAAATAGACTGAACTTACATGAAGTGATGGTGAGAAAATTGAGGTCCTTCAGTTCTAGTGGAGCAAAACCAAGAAGTAATCTATTTCTGGATCATGAAGAATTAAAATTTATAAGGAGTATTCTGACATTAGTAGTTGGAAAATTAGGAATTTTCATTCTCTGAATACCTTAAAAATTGGGGAAAAATTTAAATATCTATATTGTATCCTTCCTGAAGAGTTTTCCCAGGGTAGTAAAATCTTAGTGCAAATTATAATAATGTGTTTGTCTCTATCAGTAATTTAACAGAAAGTTTCAGATGATGGTTTTGCATGGGTAGTCCATTGACTACCCTAGTTCTAGTTGATACACACGAACTAATCTTGACTCTATTCTGCCTGATTTACAAGAGATTGAACTGATGAAAACTGGTAGGAAGTTGTACTTTTGAGATTGTGTTTCACGTGCAATACAAGGGATAAATCTGTTCTTTATAGTTCTATGGAAGTATTCATGAAATAATACATTTTTTAATGATTTTTTTAAATGTTTATTTTTGAGAGGGAGAGAGAGAGAGAGAGAGAGAGAGAGAGAGAGAGAGAGACAAGAGTGCGAGCAGGGGAGGGACAGAAAGAGAGGGTGACACAGAATCCAAAGCAGGCTCCAGGCTCTGAGCTGTCAGCCCAGAGACCAATGTGGGGCTCGAACTCATGAACCGCCACGAGGTGGTGACCTGAGCTGAAGTCGGATGCTTAACTGACTGAGCCACCCAGGTACCCCAATACATTTTTTTATAACTACTTGTCAGAAAAGTAGAGGAGGCTCCTACTGTGGTTAGGATTCTCAGCTTGTTTTCAACCTTCTGATACTGTGATGGAAGAGAAAAGGCTTACTATCTAGCATGGTTTTATTTGTAGGCATGAATTAATATGTTGTATTTTTCCTAAGGACATGAATAACACAAAATAATTTCTTTACTCATAAATAAATTGAGATAGTTAAAAAATTGGATCTGAACACTGACTTTTCTAATCTATTCCAGAAAAGACATTCTTTTCTCCCCCCTCTCCCCACTGACTGTTTTGTTGATTATCATGAAAAGTCTGCTACTAACTGCTTTCATGATTCTGAAGTAGTTTCTTGGACTCTTTCTCCTTAGATTTTTAGTTTGAGAATTATTTATCCGTTTTGGCTAGCCAGGTAGGGTTGCCTTTTGCTTCCAAGTCAATAGAATAGGTGAGTATATTCACTAATTTTGATGTCCAACTTAACTATAATTCTTACTGAACATTCTAAAATACTATTTCCTTTTCCAAGTTCTGCCCACATATTTAATAACATGGTAATGTTGCATTGTTGAGCTTTTCATTGCTTTTTAAAATCTTTGCTGGTTAAAATATATGGAGTAGATTTGGGGACTCCAGAAATTGTAATGGTACTTTGGGAATTTAAGGTGCCTGCTTCTTGCATTTTATTTCATTTCAGTAAAAATCCAAGTAGAATCTTAGGAAGGACGTTAAAGCCTTGTTAAAGGATCTACAAGTGATATCTCCAATTTTTAATTTTTTCTTTTATATACTGTGGATATCTTTTTCTGAAATCCAAAAATCTTTGACTGTGATAAACTGCATATCCTTATGTTCTATTACAGGGTTTTATCCCTTAAAAGTAAAATCTTTATAATGTTTTAATAGCCAGACTTTAAAAGCTTTGAAAAGTTTTATTTGCTTATGTTTTAAGGAATTATGGTCTTTTTCTTCTCTTCTATTGTTTAGTCCAAAAGAGACTCCACCTTCAAAACCTGTAAAGAAAGAGAAGGAACAAAGGCCACGTCACTTACTCACGGACCTCCCTCTCCCTCCAGAGCTTCCTGGTGGGGATCCATCTCCTCCAGACTCGCCAGAACCAAAGGCAGTTACACCACCTCAGCAACCATATAAAAAGAGACCAAAGTGAGTTTTTGGAAGGACCTATTTTTTCCAGTCCTCTTGTGTGTATGTGTGTGTGTGAGAGAGAGTGTGTGTGATCCGGGGAGAGGGGCAGAGTGAGAGAATCTTAAGCAGGCTCCACAATCAATGCAGAGCCCAATGCGGGGCTTGATCCCATGACCCTGGGATCATGCTTGAGCCAAAATTAAGAGTTGGACACTCAACCGACTGAGCCACCCAGGTGCCCCTTAAAGTTTTTATTTTTAAGTGATCTCTGTACTCAACATGGGACTCATTCACAGCCACAAGATCAAGAGTTGCTTGTTCCACTGACTCAGCCGGCCAGGTGCCCCATGAGGGACCTATTCTTTTTTATTTTTTTTAATTTTTTTAATTTTTAATTTTTAAAATTTTTGAGACACAGAGAGACAGAGCATGAGCAGGGGAGGGGCAGAGAGAGAGGGAGACACAGAATCCGAAGCAGGCTCCAGGCCCTGAGCTGTCAGCACAGAGCCCGACGTGGGGCTCAAACTCACAGACTGTAAGATCATGACCTGAGCTGAAGTCGGATGCTTACCCGACTGAGCCACCCAGGCGCCTGAGGGACCTATTCTTAATTATAGCTTTTTTCCTTTGGGCCTAAATCTCACACTTTCTTCCACAGCCTACACGGTGGGATTATAAAAGATTGGACCTGACATATATTTTTTTAATTTTATTTTAATGGATAAAAGCCTTTCTGGGATACTGTTCATCTGCACTGTAAGATATCCACTTGTGTTTTTAGAAAAACAATAATTTCCTGAATCCAAATGTACCATGAACGTTGATCCCATTATATCTTTTGAGTTTGATACTTAGAATATTAAGAAGAAGAAAAAAGAAAAAAGTCCTTTTATTCAGGGTGTGTCAACCATGTACACATTAATGAAAACTTAATAGATGTGGGATGTTTTTTCCTAAACCACAGAAATTGCTGTGCCATAAATGTAGTGGAATCTGGATTTGATCTTCTGATTATTACCATTCCTCTCTCTCTTTTTTTTTTAATTTTTTTAAATTAAAAAAAAAAATGTCTTTAAGTAGGCTCCATGCCCACTGTGGAGCTTAAACTCAGGACCCTGGAATTGAGTCATGGGCCTACTGACTGGGCCAACCAGGCACCCCAGCATTCCTCTCTTAATAGTAAAAATGGTTATCGTTTATTGAGCATGTATTATTGCCAAAGTCTTTTATTTTAACAGTAACTCTATGATGTAAGGTTTCTTTACCATTCAGTAGGTGAGGAAGCCAATACTGAAGAGAGGTTAGAAAGTAAGCACCAAATCTATTATTTGATATTATGCCTTCCTGAAGCAAAAAATCTGTCTTAGCCATTGTGAGAGACTATTATATATTTATTTCATATCTTTTTAATGGAGAAATTCATAAAAGATTCATGGGCCAGAGAAATTATCATAAAATAATTGTTTTCTTCTTTGAATAGGCTTAAGTGTTTATGATAACTTTTTGGTTTTGGGGGGGGGTTCTTTTGTTTTCCCTTTTTTAGAATTTGTTGTCCTCGTTATGGAGAAAGAAGACAAACAGAAAGTGACTGGGGAAAACGCTGTGTGGACAAGTTTGACATTATTGGGATTATTGGAGAGGGAACCTATGGCCAAGTATATAAAGCCAAGGACAAAGACACAGGTAAACATTACCACAAAAGTCTAGATGTCAGAAGTTTAAAAATTTAGCAATACTAATGTAGATTTAGTAGATTTGGCAAAACTAAATTTTGAGTTCTAATTGGTTTCCACAAGTTACTAAAAGACAAAAATTTCCAAAAGAATAATTATTACTGTTTAAAAACCTTCCTCTTCTGTTGCCTGTTGTAAATATTTTATAATAGGCTTGCTAGGAATTGAAGAGAGAGTAAAAGTAAAATTTATAGGTTGCTCTTTGTTTGGTAAGGGGTTAGTCCTTAAAAATAAAAAGAATATTGAATTAAGAAATTCAAGTCTTAAAAAAACAATCAAAGGCAAGAAAGGGAACATGGGTTTTGTTTTGTTTTTTAAGATATAGAAGTATCTGGCATATAGCATTAAAAGTAAGCTAACTGTGTTTCAGAGCAACTCTGGGCATTTTTCGCCTGTTCATGATGGTGGCCAAAAATGCTGATAATGTAACAGTTTGAATTTGTTGTGTAACAGGAGAGCTGGTAGCCCTAAAGAAGGTGAGACTGGATAATGAAAAGGAGGGCTTCCCGATCACAGCCATTCGTGAGATCAAAATCCTTCGTCAGCTAATCCACCGAAGTGTTGTTAACATGAAGGAAATTGTTACAGATAAACAAGATGCACTGGATTTCAAGAAGGACAAAGGTATTAGCAAGGAACCATGTTTCTACAGAGTAGATTGGTACATCTTACTTTCCTTTCATAGCTTGTTTACCTGTTTGAATTTTTTCTAAAGTGTTACTTTTCTTTTTTAAATTTTTTATTTATGTTTGTTTATTTTTGAGAGTGAGAGAGTCAGAGTGTGAGCAGAGTAGGGGCAGAGAGAGAGGGAGACACAGAATTTGAAGCAGGCTCCAGGCTCTGAGCTGTCAGCACAGAGCCCGATGTGGGGCTCAAACTCACCGACTGTGAGATCACAACCTAAGCCTAAGTCAGACACCCAACCGACTGAGCCACCCAGGCACCCCTTAAGTACTAAATTTTTTATAAAGTCCAACTTCTTTACTGAATCCATAACAGAATTAAGATATTAGTTTTAAAGATTCTTCCCACAAATTATAATAATTAAACCTAGATTTACTAGTTATTTTTAAGAATCTCATTTTAAGTAATTTTAAGTAATCTCATTTTTACATTTTATAATGTAACATACATTTTTATAATTTATAAATTACTTATAAATTTATAATACATTCTTTATAATACATTCTTATTTTTACATAGTTTTGCACTTACACAGTTTAGAATTCAAACAGGTATTTCTAAAACAATCTTTAGGTCATATATTTTCCTGGATTTTCCTGGATTTGTAACTTTTTTCTGTTTGGGGGATAAAATTATTCATTTATACTTATGTTTGAAGTGGTCTGTATATATCATTTAACCTACTTTTATTGAAGCAAATCTGAAGATTTAGAGATGGGCAACTGAAGAAATGACATCTGTAAATATAGTCTGGAATGTTAAGAGAGAATGTGATTAAAGCACATAAAATTAGAAAGGTAATAGATGAAGTAAGCTGGGCTTATTTATAGAGCCTTAATGATATTAAAGATTAGCACTAGGGAAGTTAGCACTTCTCAAATTTGGTAGAAGCAGTTTTTGTTTGTGTGTTTTGTTTTTAATTTTATTAAGTGGTAGAAGTAGTTTTAAACCAAATGAAAGGAAATTTTGCTTATGTAACGTGTTATGTACTTTGATAAATTTATGGAAGTTAGACCTGAATAGATTAAGAATACTGGATGTATTTCTGGATGTGTCTTAACTTTTTTGATTATAAAAATAATATAATGTACAGGTAATTTCTTTAAGGATAAACAAGGAAACATTAATTGGTTGCTTCTAGAGTGGAGCTTACTTTTCCCATGCCATTCTGTATTATTTAAATGGTTTACCATGTACTGTTTAAATTTTTTAATCATAAAATAATAAATAAGTGAATAAATGGATGTAATGCATACCTTTTTTGAAGAAATTGAAAATATGGAAGTCTAAGAAAAAGAAAATGGCATTCTCTCCCACTCCATCCCAGTCTACCATCATCCATAGAAAACCATTATGGTATTAGCATTTTAGCATATTTCTTTCTAAGTACTTTGTATATATTATACTTGTTTTATCATAACTGAGATCAAAGTATATTTAGTATTTTATAACTTGTCATAAGCAATTTCTCATGTTATTAACATTTTAATGACTGCATTAGGATAAATCCAAATTTATTTCACCAGTCTCTTTTCAGCAATTAGTTGCCAGTTTATTTTATTTTATTTTTAATTTAATTTAATTAATTTTTTTAGAGTAAGCTCTATGCCCTTGGGGCACCTGGGGGGCTCAATCAGTTGAGTGTCTGACTTAGCTCGGGTCACAGTCTCATGGCTTGTGAGTATAAGCCCCGCACTGGGCTCTCTGCTGTCAGCATGGAACCCACTTTGGATCACTTTGGATCCTCCTTCTCCCTCTCTCTTTGCCTCTCTGTCTCTTTCAAAAATGGATAAACATAAAAAAGAAAAGAAAAGTAAGCTCTGTGCCCTACATGAAGCTTGAACTTACGACTCGGAGATCAGGAGTCACGTGCTGTATTGACTGAGCCAGCCAGGCATCCCAATTAGTTACTAGTTTAAAAAAGTACTGTAGTACTGCATTGAGCATCTTTGTCCATAAATCTTTGCGTTTTGATTGATTGATTTTGTGAGAGAAAGCAAGCAGGGGTGGGGAGGAGAGAACGAGAAGAGAGAGAGAGAGAGAGAGAGAGAAAATAAATCGTAAGCAGCCTCCATGCTCAGCACAGAGCCCAACAAGGGGCTTCATCCCCCAACTTTGGAATCATGAGCTGAGCTGAAATCAAGAGTTTTACACTCAACCAACTGAGCCACCTAGGCACCCCTTGATTTATTTCTTAGAAGTTTCTTAGTATAGTTTCTTAGAAGTAGAATTATCTGGTTGAAGCAATTTTTTTTTTTTTTTTTAAATAATCTCTACACCCAACGTGGGACTTGAACTCACAACCCTGAGAGTTGTGAACAAGAGTTGTGGACAAGAGTCACATGTTCTTTCAAATGAGCCAGGCAGATTTCTATATTTAATGTTAGATTACTTTTAAGATAGTAATAATTTATATCCACCAGTGAGTGCCCATCCCACTTTATCCTCCCTCACATTGAGTGTATCTTTTTATTTTATTTTTTTAAGTTTATTTATCTATTTTGAGAGAGAGCGTGTGCACATGCAAGCAAGGGAGGTGCAGGGAGAGGGAGAGAGAGAATCCCAAGCAGGCTGCACTAACAGCATTGAGCCTGACATGGGGCTAGAACCCATGAAGTATGAGATCATGATCCAGGGCTGAAATAAAGAGTCAGATGCCCAACCAACTGAGCCACCCAGGTGTCCCTGAGTATATCTTTTTAAAAAATTGTCATTTTGATAGGTGAAGTATCCTATCGTTATTTTGGATTGCATTCCTTCTATTACTTCTGAGTTCTTTTTCCATGTTTATCAGTTTTACTTACTTTCTCTTCTTTGAGTTGTCTTTTTGTGTGTTTTGTCTACTTTTGCAGTTTTAGTGTTTTACTTGTTAATTTGTATGAACTCTTAACTAAATCTAAGATATTCCTTTAATGCAGTGGTTCTTAACTTTTGGGGGGTATGGACCTCTTTAAACATCTTACGGGTCCACGCTTTAAAAAAATACATTTAAAATATTGCATACTGTTTCAGGGAGTTCAAAGAGTCCTTGATTTCTGTGTACTAGATTAAGAATCCTTGCCTTTATGCTGTTAAGAGACAGAATTTTAGATTGGATACGTAATTGTCTAACTAGGTCTGGTATTTTTTATGTTACGATATTTGCCTCTGTCACACACCCTGCTAAAGTGGAGAAAGATAGCATGGATTTCAAATCTTTTACAGTTCTCTTAGCATGCTTCTTCTTTAATTTACTTTTAAATTTAGGGAGTTTAATTAGATGGCTCACTTTTCTTTCAGTTCTTAAATACTATAAATTTCACTAATAATTTATACTACATATACTGTGCTGTCCCTGGCATATTATGAGTCCTATTAAATATAACTAAGGTAAAGACTTACACAGTAGCCATAGACAGTGATGGCATTGTAACAAATGGGCATGGTTGTGTGTTACAAATAAAGCTTTATTTACAGTGACAAACAGCAGACTGGATTTGACCCAAGGCCTGTAATTTGCCAACTGACTTAGATTGTAAAAGATTAATAATACAGCTTGATATCGGGACAGTTGTCCTCCTTCAGAAGTAAATAGTCCAAAGAGCACTGGGTTAGGAGTCTGAAGAGTGATTCAGATAAGTAGTTCTGTTATTATTAGAAAGGGCAAGTTATTCAAGTACTCTGAGTTTCAGTTCCTTTATCTGTAAAATGAAGCAATTGCTTCAAAGAACCTTATGGTCCACTCCAAAATAATAGTGAAATTTGAGGCATTGTCATTTCAGCATCCTTTTCCTCTTGTTTTTAATTTTTTCTTTCATTTTTGTGTAGGTGCCTTTTACCTTGTATTTGAGTATATGGACCATGACTTAATGGGACTGCTAGAATCTGGTTTGGTGCACTTTTCTGAGGACCATATCAAGTCATTCATGAAACAGCTAATGGAAGGATTGGATTACTGTCACAAAAAGAATTTCCTGCATCGGGATATTAAGTGTTCTAACATTTTGCTGAACAACAGGTAACATAGTAACCAAATGAGGCATTTTCTCCCTCTTTTCTGACCCATTTAGTTTCAGCTAGTTAATTGATGATAGGTAGACCCAGTGATGTAGTTTTTTGCATTTACATACAACTGATGTTTGTACTGTAGGAATAACTTATGATTGGGGTACTCTGATAGCAGAGCCTTTAGACTCAGTGTTGGTAAGGAATTAACAGAGGTAGGATTGTAAAGCTTTTTAAATTGCAAACATTTTAGGGAACCACTTACATCACTACAGGAGTATTCAGAGAGCTTTTTGCCATAGCTAGTAAATATTACTGTGGTCCTGGAAAATTAAAACACACATTGAGTTCTCAGTGAAATTCTCACTTGTTTAGTGAGGAGAAACATGCCTGCTTTTTTAGCTGCTGTTGAGACTTTTTCAGTATCAAATTTCAGAGTAAACACAGGTGTAGCTGGTGGTTGACCTCTCTGCTGAGCACTTACTCCCAGGTTTTAATAGCATAGACAGACAGGGATTTGGTGATGAACAGTGTTAAATCCTCAGAAGTTTTTATCATCTGCTTTCTTCTTCTCTGGCTATTTGTCTAAACTATATTGATGATATCAGGTGTATGTATTATGCACATTAGTCTTTGGTAAATAGCCCTACCAGTTGAGGAATAAAAAGCAAATCTGATACTATTGAAATCATACCAGTGTTTGGTTCTTTTGGCATTTGGGCTGTTTATAGCTATCTTTGCGTGATTCACCCACTCTTTTAAACATTTCTATTTAATTATATTTGGCAAAAATTAGATAGAGATGTAGAGTGATATGACCTATTTCACATCTTTGTGAAGTGAGGTGATCAACCATCCAGAGTTGCCCAGGGACTGTTCTAGTTTTATTTTTTATTTTTGTTTTTTTTCTTTAAAGTTTTTTATTTTTAAGTAATTTCTACACCCATTGTGAGGCTCAGACCCACAACACTGAGATCAAGAGTTGCATGCTCCACCAGCTGAGCTAGCCAGGTACCCCTGTCCTGGTTTTAGCATCGAAAGTCCCATATGGGATAGTTGGTCACTGGAAAGCTCAGAGTTTATAGGGGAGCTAAACAAATAAATTGCTCAATCCAGTAAACAGTTACTAAGCCCCCCTGCCTTTTTTACATAATGTCTACACCCATTGTGGGGCTTGAGCTCACAACCCCAAGATGAAGAGTCAAATGCTCTATCAGCTGAAGCAGCCAGGCACCTCTAAACCCCTTGAATTTGGGAGCATCTGGGAAGGTGGAATCTTGAGGAATGGATAGGAATTTATCAGAAAGTCTAACAACAGAGGATTAAATTTCTAAGCAAAAGAAATTGCATGGGCAAAAGCACATAAATGTGAAAATAACATGTTATATGTGGGAAAATGTAAACAGGTAGGTATTGCTAGGGCAAGAAGAGTGAAGCTCATAATGGGGAGATGAAGCCGGACAGTTGTAAGGAGCGAATTTAAGGATCTTGTATATCTTGCTGAGGAGTTTATACTGTCTATAGGTGACAATGATTGAATGGTGCTGGTGTGGTTATACAGTTAATTTGGTTGGCTATTTTTTTTAAGTTATACAGTTAGTGCATATTTTAAATTATTTTATATAATGCATATATTTATTTTATATATTTTGTACTTAAATACCTTTTGAGACAAAACATCATGTTAAAAAGAGTATTCCTTTCTGTCACTATCTCTGTGACCCATAATTTTCATTAAAACTGGGCTTGGTTAATCTACATCCATAGTGATAATGCTTCAAGAATTTAATGATGATGACTATTAGCTTACAGCTATCTGGACTATAGCATATACTTTTTTTTGTTCGATTTGTTCTTCCATGGTGGGGAGGGATGTCTCAGGCCAGGGAATGACTGCAGTCCTACTTGGTGTCCTTTCTAGTGGGTTAAGCCCCTCCCTGTCTTCTTATATTCAGGAAGCTGATAAGGTTCTAGATTAAACTGAATTTCCTCCTGAGGTTACTAAGCAGGATGCAGGAGTCTCATGGTCTAATCTGATCCATCCAGCCTCTAATCTTGCCCATTTAGCTCTGTCTACACAGAGAATTCTGGGTGAGATGGCCTGGAGAAAATGGTAAGGAGCCCTCAGCTGGACAAGGAAGCAAGAGCAATTGATAAGAGAGAGAGGAGAGCACTTGGGCTCCATGGTGTTCATTATATCTTTATTACACAAGTATAAATGAGACCAACTTATTTTAGATGGTAGAGAGACACAATTAGTCTTCTCTTTTAGAAGAAACACTAAATGGTCACTCTAATAGGGTATATATAGACTGGAGGTAGGAAGAACATTATAAAAAGAACACCTATTAAAAACACCATAAGAAATGGTCAGTGCTTAAACTAACCAATTCCTTGCTAATAGAGATGGACAGGATAAATTTTGTGAATGAGTAGATTTTGGTGAGTGAACAAATGTTGGAGAATGAATGAAAGTACTTTAAAATTTTTTTTTTTTCAACGTTTATTTATTTTTGGGACAGAGAGAGACAGAGCATGAACGGGCGAGGGGCAGAGAGAGAGGGAGACACAGAATCGGAAACAGGCTCCAGGCTCTGAGCCATCAGCCCAGAGCCCGGCACGGGGCTCGAACTCACGGACCGCGAGATCGTGACCTGGCTGAAGTCGGACGCTTAACCGACTGCGCCACCCAGGCGCCCCAAAAGTACTTTAACTCCCAGACTTCTACCTTAAGAAACTAACTAGATGAGTGGTATAATGGTCAATATAGGGAATATAGAAGGAAGAGCAGGATAGATGAGTGAAGAGTAAATCCCGTTTGGATATGGCTGTTGCACATCTAGGATAGTGATATCTGACTAATAGGCATATGGTCACATTGAAGTTCCAAACTAGCAATGTAGTTCAGGAGTTAGCAAGCAGAGAAAAGGTGTCAGAAGATGGAACCTAAGGGAATGGTCAGATATGAAGGAAATAAGGAAATATTATGAATGTAAATTAGACAGGTTTAAGAAGTGAATAGTCATAGATGTCAGGTGATGCAGACAGATTATAAGACATAAGAAGGAATCTGAAAATTAAAAGGTCAGCATTGACATTGTGGGGCAAATTGGTGGGTAGCACAGTTAATGGGAAGGTGCTGGTAGGAAGGTCTTTAATTTTTAATTTAAGGATGCAGAGGTTTAAGCATATATAAATACTAAGAGAAAAAAATCAATAGGGAGAAGTTGAAGATTCAAGAAAAAACTAAAATAACTTAAAGGAACAAGGTTCTAGAAGAAATGAAATCAAGGTCACAGGTGATAGTGGTCACAAGTATAAGTGTTGATTATCCTTCAACAAGAGAGATTGACACATTTTTTTCTGTAACTGAAAGGAAAGAAAAAGGAGAGCTATAGATGCAATTAAGGTTATACAGGTAAAAGGATGTTAAGTAGCTCCTACCTGATGATTTTTGTTTTCAGTGAAGAAGGTCATTTACTGAGAGGGGAGGGGATAGATTAGGAAATATGCTAGGTTCTCAGTGACGTTTAGATTTAGCCTAACTTGCATAACTATTTGCTGTCATTTTATAGTCCTATGTGCTTCCTATAGTCCATTTTAAAGAGTGTGCTTCACTTCACTGTGCTTCAGTCTTGGATCATCTCAGGTTCTCAAGAGTGAGGATGCTGAGAAATTTGAGGAACTCTTTTTGTCTCAATATAGGGCTCAAGTCAGCTAGTCCTTTGCTTTTTGCTTTTTATTCATTTCAACTTAAAAATGTAATGATGTTTGGGGCAAGTGGATACGGTGCCAATAATCTTTACCAGGAATGATAAGGGTTTCTGTAATGTAAAATTTTGTTGCTAGTAGTTACTTGGTTTTAACTTTGAGGAGCACCTCCTGCCATAGCCTCTTTTTTCTATCTCACTTGAATGCCTGATCTCAGCTGTCAGGTACCTGAGGTATCTCCAGTACCTTAAAAAAAAGAGTGAGCTGGCTTACATTCCCCAAGAAGGAACACAAGTGGTAAATGTGAATAAATAGGCTATACAAGAATTTAGGTAAATATGATTAATCCAAAATAGTTAAGAATTTTAAGTTTTCTGACATTTTGTGTTATAGTTTATTAAAATATTACTTAACATCACTATCAAAGAATATTTAGCAGAGTGAAACATGGGTGTGAGCCTTTTATGGGATGGTTCTCAAAAGTGTGGTTCTCAGACCCATAGATGCATTGGCATCATCTATGGGCTTGTTAGAAATGTGAGTTCATGAGCTATGACCTGCTGAATCGGCATCTCTGGGAATGAGGCCCAGGAAACTTTTTTTTTTTTTTTAATATTTATTTATTTTTGAGAGGGAGAGTGAGCAAGCACGAGTGGGGGAAGGGCAGAGAGAGAAGGGGACAGGATCCAAAGGTGGCTCTGCACTGACAGCAGCAAGTCTGAGGTGGGGCCCAAACTCACAAACTATGAGATCATGACCTGAGCCAAAGTTGGATGCTCAACTGACTGAGCCAGACATCCCAGGAAACTTTTAATAAGCTTTCCATGTGATTCTTATTTCATATGAAAGTTTGAGAACCCCTGTAAGATCATAGTTATTTATCTTTATGATACAGGAAATGATGGCAATATGTTGGTAAAAGGACCTCATTCGTCATAAAAATTGTGTGCTCAGATCAAAGCCATGTTCCTGGTTTGAAAAAATCTGTTAGGGGCACCTGGGGGGCTCGGTTGAGTGGCCAACTTTTACTTTCTGCTCAGGTCATGATCTCATGGTTTGTGGGATTGAGCCCTGCATCAAGGAGGGGCAGAGAGAGAGGGGGAGAGAGAGAATCCCAAGCAGGGTTCATGCCATCAGCACAGAGCCCGACCTGGCATTCAGTCTCACAAAACAATCTCACGAACCGTGAGATCATGACCTGAGCTGAAATCAAGAGTTGAACGCTCAACCGACTGAGCCACCCAGGTGCCCCTGTAATGTGTTTTGTATAGCTAGTGTCTTCAAGCCAGAATTGATCAAGGTTTATCATTAAGTTAGAACAGCTCATTCCTTCTTTCCCCAACAAGTATTTAATCTAGCAGGGTTTTTTTTGTTTGTTTATTTTGAGAGAGAGCACAAGTGGGGGGTGCAGAGAGAGAGCAAGAGAGAGAATATGAAACAGGCTGCACACTGTCAGCACAGAACCTGAGGTGGGGCTCGAATTCATGAACTGTGAGATCATGACTGAGCCAAAGTTGGATGCTTAATGGACTGAGCCACCCACATGCCCCTAACCTAGCAGGTTTTAGCAACTGTTGTTTGCCAAGAAATAAAAGGAATATTTAGTTAAGGAGTCAAATCCAAAAATACAGTAGTAGTCTAAAAAGAAAACCTTAGGGGAGCCTGGGTGGCTCAGTTGGTTGAGCATCGGACTTCGGCTCAGGTCATGATCTCGCGGTCTGTGGGTTCGAGCCCTGCATCGGGCTCTGTGCTGACAGCTCAGAGCCTGGAGCCTGCTTCGGATTCTGTGTCTCCCTCTCTCTTTGCCCCTCCCCCACTCATGCTCTGTTTCTCTCTCTCTCTCTCTCTCTCTCTCTCTCTCTCTCTCTCTTTCTCTGTCAAAAATAAACATTAAAAAAAATTTTTTTTTTAAAGAAAACCTTAAGTATTTGTAAACTGGGGTAGTCAAAAGAGGTTTAATCTGGATGTGTGACCATTAAGAGTAGAACTAAGATAGCAGATGTTAAAATTCCTTTAACTCCTAAACTTGTGCTTGACTGTTTAGATTTAATTAGGAAGCCACTACTGTTACTTATAAAAATAAATTGTTTTTTTGTTTTACAGTGGACAAATCAAACTAGCAGATTTTGGACTTGCTCGACTCTATAACTCTGAAGAGAGGTGAGGCATTCATCATTGCAAGTTGCAGTAACTTTCAGAATTCCCTAATTTTCTAAATATGTTACCACCTAGATTTTAGATAGTAGATTCTGTCTAAATTCTTGAATCAGCCTCAGACTGAAATAAATCAACCCAAATTAGAATGGAAGTTATTTTTTCATCTCTTACTCCTCCAGTTTACTTTTGAACTATTAGATTGTTAGGGAGCTGTTTTGACAATCCCATTTTCAATTGGCAGCTATTCCTCTTTGCATTTAATTTTATAAGTATTTTTTCATCAGAAGCCGTTGTAAATTTATGTCATGGTTACTTTTTACATTTCAGTCGCCCTTATACAAACAAAGTCATCACCCTGTGGTATCGACCTCCAGAACTTCTGCTGGGAGAGGAGCGTTACACACCAGCTATTGATGTTTGGAGCTGTGGGTAAGCCTCTGTGCTTTTTCTTTTGTTTATAATTTATGTATTATTGAACTGGTATCTGTTTTCTCTCTACATTGGCTTTTGTAGCTTTTCTTTAAGTTTGAAAGGATGGGTATAAACTTTTAGCTAGAATTCAGGGAAATCTGTTGAATGTTTCCTAATCTTCTTTAAATTTTTATTTAGATATTCATTTATTTTTGGAGACAACATGTTTTTCTTTTTGTTTTTTTCTTAATTTTTATTTATTTATTTTTGAGAGAGAGGGGGAGGGAGAAAGGGAGCAAGCAGGGGAGGGGCAGAGAGACAGAGACACACAGAATCTGAAGCACGCTCCAGGCTCTGAGCTGTCAGCACAGAGCCCATCACGGGGCTTGAACCCACAAACTGAGATCATGACCTGAGCCAAAGTCGGATGCTTAACCAGCTGAGCTACCCAGGTGCCCTGAGACACGTTTTAAAAATTTTTTTTTTTT